AAAGGGGGGATCGGCTAAATTTCACCTTGTTTAGCCCCAAATCCTCTCCCCCCCCCCCTCCCTCGGCGATAAATAATGACCGGTCCCGTAAACTTATTTGATAATTTCAGTGTCCAAAACCTCCAATTTATGAAACGCTTTCCTCCCGTCGCATTGTACCTCTTTCAGTTTTAATTATTTGTTTCCGCCGTAGATCGAATGATTCATTTATCCTCAACCCCTTTTATGATAAAATAAAGATACTAATTTTAACGTGTTTTTGTCGTGCTTAAAAAGGTAAAATGTAGTTGGGCTTAATGAAACGAGAACACTGGCACAATTTCAAATAACCGAAGTACAGAATGCGCGAAAATTCTTTAATTGGCTCCATAACAAAATACACAAACTTCAACAAATCAGAGAGCTTACAATTGTCACTGTCACACAAGTGTTTAGTATTTTCGTGCTTCCCTTGGTAGCTAGCTTAGCTAGCTTTGACGCATGCGCGATCTCGTTACCAGAGGCAAAGGGTTTAGTGACTGACACCCCGCATTTCACAACGAAAACACATGACTTAAACGCAATGTCACTACCTCACACAACGCACAATTACAAGACTAGGCGAACAAGTAAAGTCAGTAGAACTCGCAGATTTCTCTGTCAAAATAACAGTTTCATTATTTCAAAAAAGACACCCGCTGCTTCTAACAGATTTCTCTACTTTGTTAGTGACTCTCCAATTACAATTTTATTATTCTAAGCAACTGTCTGCTTCCAATATTGCGCAGGTTGAAAGTTGCAGCGAACCCTTAGATTTTTAAAACTTGAAGGTTAACTGAGTACTTCTCTGCAAACTCGTTTGTTCTAGTTTGTCGCAGGAGGAGATGTGACCTCCTTTCAAGCTGGAAAAAAAAGTTTAACATGTCTGATAGCTTTCAAGAGTGGAGCTGCAGCAGCGCATGTTCACCACCTCAACACTGTTATTTACCACGCTGCACAAAAATTCCTTTCCCTGAAACATTTAGCGGATCAGGAAAGGTCAGTTAACTTTTCTAGATGCTAAAAAATAAAAAGTATGAATAGCAATCTAAATTTAGTTAATTACACAGACAAAACCACCCTCAATCTTTTACTTTTTGTGTTATTATTATTATTAATTTTTTTTTTCAAACTTTTTTTTGAGGTTCATGTGCACGTATCGCTAAGTCACGGCGAGAATTTTTCACGTGTTCACTCACCTGCTGCATTGTGGGTTCATTCTGTCAGTACACGTGGATTTGAGGTATGCGCACGTGAGGCTGGTGCTGCATCAAATGGAACTGGGATCATAAACTGGATGGCGTTCCACGATCAACCACAAGTTTCATCTGGCAGCATAACGTTTGGTGGAACGTGGACAACAGAAACCAAGTGCGACAAAGTGACGTTTAAAAAGGTTAGTGTTAGAAGCAAAAAGAAAGGCGCAGAAAATATATATTATCTTTTCCATTTTTGCTATGCACTGCTAGGTCATCTATGTCATCTAGGTCATCTATCAATAATTTTTGCCTTTTATCTTACGTCCGTGTTGATCTATTCATTCCTCAGTTTATGTGCTCATGATTTATTCTATCGAGTACGCGAAACTGATTTCCCAAATTGAAGAAAGTTTAAACGATTGTCCTACGATTTTCCCTTTGATATACATTCCAGAGCTTTGCTGCGAGGCCCTTTGTTTTTGTCTCGGCGAAGTACACTCGAGCTACAAAGCCCGGTGACGCAGTGTATGTTTGGTTAGAGAACGTCAGTTCCAGAAGCTTTGAGGTGTGCATCAAGGAATTCTTACCATTTGATGGAAAACACCAAGATACAGTGGTGGTGGGTATACCTATTTGCTTTTCAATTGTTCCATAGCTAGGCTGACTATCATTGTCGACATCATTAGCACCTTATTCATCACCATTATCATCATCATCATTATCATCATAATCATCAGTACGATTATCAGTATCGTCAATATCATTGGTATCGTTAGAATCGACATTGTGATCAATACCAGCAGCATCAGCACCAGCATCATCATCAACGACTCTCCAGTTCTCTGGTGTTTTCTGGGTCTTTCAAAGCCATTTCTCAGCAGCTTCTCGCAGATTAGAGATACAACACTTTCCGGAAGGTGTGAACCGTATCAAGCATGGCTGACAACTCATGCCTTCCAAAAATGCAAGGCAGTCTTAACCTCCCACACCAGTCATTTGCATTCTTCGAGATGGTTCCAAATGCACAAATCACGATCGATGGATCTTACTGCCACTAGGCTCTTTGGATTGTTTTAATTTTGAGTGCTAGGTTTTGATACCTTTACACCTTCTTGTCTTCTGTAATAAAGATATTTTGGTCCGTTGGCACAGCTATGTAGATAAGTGTCCACTCCTGTGTGCCTTTGTGTACCACAGTAATATCTGGTCGAGTTTACTTTGGCCGCTGGTCCGCAAAGATAGTCATATCCCAAGTTATCCTCACTTCTCCATTCCTATTTTCTCTCTGGGCAAACTTCCTTCATCCACTGACAATACGCCATACTGTTTCAGTCACCACAAAATCTGCATATTGGTGTCTTAGAGGTCTTATCATATCTATACTGTGCTTGACAAAATTTGTTCTTAAAGCTTGTTCTTAAGCGGCGAGGATCAGTTCTGTTCCCTTTTTTTATAAAATCACTCCTGAACCATCTCCAGAACTCCTCTCCAACCACCTGAAGTTTGCCGAGCAAACTCTCCATGTAGGACTTTTTCCTTCCGGTCCCTGACTTTCTCCTCTTTCTTCTGGTAGTCCTGAGGGTTCTTTTCTTCAACAAGCCCCTTTTCCTTTAAAGCCATTTGCAGCATTATCCTCGCTGTGCTCTCTTTCGGGTAGCCATACAAGAATTTGCACACACTCTTTTTAACTCGTCAATACTAATGGACCCCCTCTCTCTTCCTTCCTCGATGGAAAGATACAGTCTGGCGACATTTTTTATGGTGTGTGAACAGCCATTCAGTAGCAACATAACTACTATAAACAGCAAGGGTGATAAGGAATAACTTGAGAGTGTCCTCTCTGATGTCGACCTGCCCAAGCTCCGCACCATCTGATGTCAACAAGTCTACAAGTTCACCATGCTGTTACTGAGAGATCATGTCTCGTCTCTTGTCTTGTTTCTGCTCAGTTAATTCTGTTAACTCAATGTGGTGTTAAGAGTTTTCCATGTACAAGTCTAGCATCCTTTTTCTTTAGCCTCGCTCCTTTGGCTCACTCCAGATGTAACCCTTAAACAGTCATTTGCTGTTCACCTTTCACCACCTCAAACCCTTCTGGAGTCGTTCAGCGGAAACAGGATGACCACCGGGCCTGCGTTGTTGATCAACAGGACACGTGCCTGACTCGACACCTTCGCCGAGCACCCCAGTTCTGTTGACGTCGTCAGGGTAAAATTGGGCATTCTCTCATTAAATTATTCATTTTAAGGTTTCCACTAACCAATAGTTTATCGTGCCACCATCACTAGACGGATTGCTAGCCAAAGCTCAGAGAGATCAATATACAAGATAGCCGATACCGTGCCAGACACTAACCTGGTGTTTTCTGGTATAGAGGGACCAATGTACATTTGCAATATCCTCGTGGTTTCGGGACCTCGACTATGGTGGCATAAGGGTTGTTGGCTTATTGTTATTGAACACATACAAACTACAATGTGTTTTGCCTAGCCGACACTCACTGAATGGAAATAAGCTTGCACGTTATACTTGTATCTTACTATTTGATTTACAAGAACTGAGAAAATTTTTCCATAAACTATCAAACGGAAATAACGTTTATTTTTTTAAAATTTTATCCTTTCAGGACTGGTTCGCGTTAGTGGGAAATGGTTCTAATTTTAATTTGACCATGACAGGAGAAGTTACCTTTCCGAACCTTGGCACACCGACAACTATGACAACTATGACAACTTTGGATTCTGTCAAGTACCTTTATTCTAATTTAACACTTACAGTTTGTCGGCTCCATATTATTTGACAGTAGCTATTTGTCAATAGGTAAAAGCTGGACACCTGATAAAAGAAATCCTCACTCGACATCAATCCTTTCACCGCGTATGCTAGAGTGAATAACAGAGTATTATGAAGCTCTTCTAAACTATAATATAATTATGATACTGCAGTATTTAACCTCTTTTACCGACTTTTAAAAAAGATAGACTGTTTGTTTTACAACATATTGCAAAAAGACGTGAGCAGATATATTTTTGAATTTTTCCTTCTGTTTACTTTTGACAGAGAATGAGTTAAGTGTTTAAGTCATGATCCGAAAATAGCTCATACCATATTCTGACTTAATTTCATTTTGGGAGTCAGATTTGCGCTGCCCTGGCAGTTTTATCAAATGAATATGTAGTACGTAATGAACTGTTATAGCCTTATTCACTGTTTTCACAGAATATTCATTACAACACCACCTTCTACGCGTCACCTGTGGTCCTGGTTTCAGTTTCAGAAAAACGTCATTTTACCAGAAAATAATATTGTCACGGCATGGGTGGAGGTACGTTACTTTTCTACAGATTTTCTTAATTCTCTTGTCTAGCAGAAAAATGAAGTATCTCATCGCAGAGAGCTTCGTTCTATTTCAGGAAGTTGGCCTAAAATCCATGAGGATTTGTGTCAGAGACTTGAGTGGAACAGGACGGGAACATGATCCTCTTTCTGTCAGTTATATTGTTACCGGAGGTAAGTAATGCACAGTAACAAACTCTATGACGAGCTTGAATGATCATTTTACCAGATTCATGAAATTCACTGTAGGCATGGATTTTATCCGCAAAATGTTGGAGTAAACTTACTATCCCATAACAATACGCTACAATACGTTTTATCAATTAATGTTTTTATTATTAATTCTCCCAACTGGGAATTTTCAGAATTAATTTACAAGAACTCGTTAGGCTAAATAACGTTCGAAATTACTAAAACATTACAAATATAAAAGAGAAAATGAGGTTACTATTGAGATTAAATTCTTTAGGACTAACATTCTGAATTGAAAAGCTAATAACCCATTAATTGAAATAGATCAACAAACTACGTGTAAATGTTTTATTTACGTCTTCTGATTATCTTCTGAAAGACTGTTCCAAGAGCTACCTTAAGCTTGGCTCGACAATCTCTGACACTCTTTCTCTGCCGGGAAACCGAGCTAAACAGGCGCAACGGCAAGGCAGCTACTACCATTTTCAGCCTGACCCAGCCTCACTAAGAGAGTATGGACCAACAAACGAAGATGAGGAAGAAGCACGATCGAAACTGAACATGCTTCCTCTTTATCACAGGCGGCAAGTTGCAGTTGCGACATTCCTGTACAGGATGCACACCAGTCTGTTCCCGTTTGATCTGAAAACGATACTTCCGCGACCCTACAGCCCAATACGAGAAACCCGCGCAAGCCTGAGTATGCCAAGCCATGCCCTGGAAGAGCCGAAGTCAAGATCGTACTCTTCAGGAAGAGCTTTTATCCACCGCGCTCTTAAAATGTGGAGCAGCCTGCTGGACAACATCCTCGGCATTATAAATGACACGGGGAATTCAGTCTTTTAAGAGCCGGTTGCACAAGTTCCTCCTGCAATGTTGACTACAAATGGAAAAATGCTGACTGTTTAGTTCTAATTTTTTTTCGTTTTTTTCTTTTTCTTTCGTGTAAGCTGCTGCGAACCACTGATTGATCCGTTAGGTGTCAAATGCATTTAAACTGTAATTTGTACTTCGCCTTTCGTGCTATTGTTCGCTCTAGCGTGTTAGATATGTAAAAGAAAAATAAGAAGCTGACGGAAAATACCAAGATCCTGGTATACAGAGCCTGTGTTTTGAGTACACTTCTGTACGGCAGCGATTCATGGACTCGTCACTCATAATAGAAGAGGAAGCTTAGCACTTTTCACATGCCTTGTCTCTGACGCATACTCGACATCACCTGACAGGACAAAGTTCCAAACAACACTGTCCTAGAACTAGGTGAAATTCCCAGCATGTATGTACTACTGAAACAGAGATGTTTGCGCTAGCTTTGCTACTACACGTTCTTTTGGAGTGGCAGGGGAGAGAACAAGCGAAGAGAATCGCTCGAGTTGGTTTTGCAATAAGGAACTCCATTACTCAGCAGCTGAAACAAGATCCAATACCTGTCATTGATTGGATAATCGCAATGAGACTTCCGCTGCAGAGAAATGTGTACGCCACCATAATTAGTGTCTATGCTCCAACCATGACAAACCTCAAGACATCAAGGTGGAGTTGTACAACAGTCTGAGAGAGGTACTGTGGAGAGTTCCAAGTACTGATAAACTGATAATAGCTGGTGACTTTAATGCCAGGGTTAGAAAGGAGATGGACAAATGACCACTTGTGATTGGCCCGCATGGAGTTGGGAAGTGAAACTCAAACGGTGAACTTCTTCTGGCAACTTTGCTCGGAACACAATTTGGTCATCACAAACACTATCTTCAAACACAAGGAACATCACAAGACCACATGGATGCACCCCGTTCTAAACATTGGCACCTTTTGAGAGTATATAATAGTACGGCAGGTAGACCAAAATGACATCTTGAGCACAAGATCCATGAGAGGCGCTGACCGTTCAAACATTCCAGAATTGCTGCCAAACCATCCTGCAAGATTGATGTTATGAAACTACGAGATAAAGATATCCAGCAGAAGTTGACGAAGAAAAAGGACAGGGCTTTTGCAGGATTGAAACATCAGGAGTCAGAAGATGTTGAAGTAAACTGGAATTCTTTAAAAACAATTACATATGACACTGCTGAGAGTGTCTTAGGTAAACCCATTCAATAAAACTAGGATTGGTTTGACGACAGTGACAAGCTGGGGAGGCCAGAAGCTGAAGGCCATGTTACAGGAAAGAACTAATGCAAGGGTGAAATAGCTAGATCAAACATGTACAGGGCAAAAATGACCGGTGGTCGACGGAATCTACAGCAGTAAACCAGGGAAATGAAGTCTCAATGGTGGGAGGCAAAGGATGAAGAATTGCAGCAGGCAGCAGATAAAAACGATATGAAAGCATTTATAATTGTCTGAAAGAAGTATATGGACCATTGTAGAGGGTGCAACACAGCTTACTGCCCTTGACGGTGAGACAGTAATACATGAAAAACCTGAGATTCTCGATGGATTGGCAAATCACTTTGACCAGCTACTTAACATAACAAGAGAAGTTGATCGATATGCCTTGGACACTATTGCACAGAGGCCAAACATCTCATTCCTTGATGAAAAACCTGAATTCAAGGAACTGTTCGATGCCATTAATGCAACAAAGGAAGTTGGCGCTTCACCACTCTGCGGCATTTTGGATATCCTCAGCAACTTGGTGTAGACATAAATCAATGTCCTTTGTCGCAAACGATAAATATATCTTTGTGTCATAAACGTAAGATTCGATGTTTCTTAACTTGATGACTTCAGGTAGATCGGTCGAGTACGGGCTAAAAGGTGTTAGCCCGAGAATGGAGCCCTGAGGTACGCCATGTATTATGAAGAGCGGATAAATCACGTAAGACGGATTTTTTTTTTGTTTTTCAGACCTGGATCCTTGTCTTAATGTCAACTGCCCATCTTTTGGAGTCTGCAAGACATACAGTGCTCATGAAGCACGCTGCGTGTGTTTTGACGACTGCCCCACCTATCAGGACCCAGTATGCACTGCCAACGGAACAACGTATGACAACAAATGCTGACAAGAATTGAGCTACTGTAGGGGACTGGACAATAACCTTGTTTACCACCCTGGGAGCTGTGAAGGTTGGTGGGAGAGACCCTCTAACACAATCCCCGAAGTAATGAAAATGAGTTGGTGCATGAGACAAAACGCTGTTGTCTAGGGTTTGGGGAAGGGGGAGATAGTTACCACAAAAGATGAGTTTCGTTCTTATTTACGTCATGTGCTCTTTCCAAAGGTTTCCCAGTTGTTCGTGGCCGTGTGGACCTTCACGGAATCTCAAAGTGGACAGATTCTACCTGCCAGACGATAGATTTCCCGCCGTATCGCTTCTACCCGGATAAGAACGTTCATGTTCAAATAACTGTCAATCACATGAAATTGAATGACACCGTGTCAGTTCACGATGCCGTCACATCATGGACTGAAAGTGTTAACACTAAAAACTTTACAGTATGCGTCATGCAGACAGGAAGGAACAGTGGAGAGAGCTTTAATCCCTTCGCGACAGTTGATTGGCTGGCGTACCAAGGAGCACCACCCAATGGAATGACGGGAAGGATTAAGATGCAAAACTGGTGGTCTGGTACGAAGTGTGCTAATGTGGCTTATCCCAAGGTAAAGGAAACGTCAAAATAAGCCTGTGCTGACAGATAATATTTAACAGTTGTGTGTTCCTTTGAAAATAGGATGAGGGCGTAGAGGTCTCATCCGACTCTAAATTTCTAATGTCTAGTTTCTTCAATCTTTACAGAATAAGTTCAAGGAAACACCTACAGTTTTTGTGACCGCAGAACACTTGAGGACTGGAAAGGAGTATGATGCTTCCCTAATATGGACAGAAGATCCAAATAAGGACTCATTTAAAGTCTGTCTTCGAGAAATGCAAAACTTTGATGGAAAACATGAAGACATTGCAGTGGTATGTTTCAAAATCATATTGTTATTAAAAGCAGAATAAAATATTGGTGCCAAGGGCGAGATTGCGACAGCTGAAAAAGTGGGAAGGTTTCAGTGCTCTTATAATGTGACATGCATTAAAAACTGCATTAATGAATATAAGTAAGAAAAGGAAAGAATCAATCCAAACTGTCATTGATTTTGATGCTGTTTAATAATTTTGTTTTAGAGTTGGCTGGTATTTGCTGAGCTTAGGAAACCGTTCTTCACTGAGGGTGATTCTGTCGGATTTCTAAACACAAAGCCACCAAAAGACGAAGATAACAACGCTTATTGCCAGGTAAGTGAAAGAAGGAAAACGCCGATGAAATGAAATATAAAAAAATGGAAATACACATTTTATGTCACACTAATAAGAATAAAGAGGGAAAAATTAAAAATATGACTAAAAATTGTTGAGTATTCTAATCATTTGTTTTTAATGGCAGTTCGTGAAGTTTGAAAGAAGCTATAACACAACACCCTCGGTGTTACTTACAGCCAATCACACCAGCACAGCTCCTGGAAACTCCGCACCAGTGCACAATGGGATTGCAAAATGGATTGAGGTACCAAAAATAAGAACAGAGGATCATGGGGCGTCCCATGACCAATTTTTGGTTGAAAAAAATCAATCTGATAGTTTTTTAAGGGCAAAAGCAAAACTCTGCTGAAAAGGTCTGCCATGACAAGAATCCGTGCCTGTAGCTTAGCAGCATCGCTTTTATATTTAGTGACATCATTCTTTCTCAAATCACAGGCAGTAAGGTTACGTAACGGGAAACCTAAGATCGTATGGAAGCTTCTCTCCTTCGCAGTTTCCCGTTGGGATACTGACAAGAAATTTTAATAAAAGTAAGCGCGCGATTGACGATGGGAAGAGGAAAAAAAACGGCCTCCCATCGTCCCCTGCTTTCCTTTCTTTCTGCCCCAGCCTCCCTACGACATAAAGGGGCCTCTGTGGAGGAGAGAGTGCGGGGGCATTTACGTTTCTCGCTAGTTGACGTCATTCTAAGGTATGTGTTTGTTTTTTAGATACGAGGGGGGAAGTTGTTAGATAGCTTTGTCTTTAAAGAGGAATCTTTCTCATGCAGGTTGAAGCGAAAAGCCAATTTTCAAATGTCCACTCTGCTTCTACTTGCTGCGTATGCGTGAAGAACCCTAAACAAGCAATAATTATACAAGTTTTGATCATCACAGTTAGCTAGAATCATATAATCTTCTTTGCAGAACATGAACAAAACCGGTTTCGGGGTGTGTGTGAAGGAGTTGTATGACACCAGATATGATCCCGTGTCAGTGAGTTATGCAGTACTAGCAGGTCAGTTAACAAGAAAAGTACTTGATTTTATGACGTAACCGGTTCACTACAGCAAACCATCATGCCTTTATTGGTCGCACTGTTACATAAGTCACGTGCACAGATGTCACGTGGAATCATTGCTTAGCTTTTTTTTTCATATAAGAAATAGTTTTCCCGTACCGACATTGTATAATTTCGCATAAATTTGCTATGTATGACCTCAGGCTTATCTTGATGTAGCCGTCTTTCCTGTCGCCGGGTATGTCTCCAATAAGTAACATGATAACTGTCAGCATTAGCCAATAGCCATCGGCTGAAGGCCGTTTTTGAAACTTCATGTTTCCAAAGATATCTGTGACCCTGGGTGGAGCTATTTCAATGGATTCTGTTATTTGACGAGTGAAAAATGCGTCAATTGGACAACAGCTCTCACCAAATGTCGTCAGGAAAAGTCGGTCCTTGTTGATGTTACCAACGATGAGGAAAATGTTTATATTCAACATCGCCATAATGGAGACAAATCATGGCTGGGCCTGAATGACATTTCCACGGAGGGTAACTTTACTTGGGCGGATCGCGGTGAGGGGAACTTTACAGCTTGGGCGAAGAATCAGCCGAATAACTTCAATGAAGAAGACTGCGTTCACGCACTCAGTCTGAGATACAACTATGAATGGAATGACGTCAAATGTAGGGATTGTCATCAGTACACTTGTAAGAAAGGTAGGATGCTAAAATTGTTTTCATTCATTTAGTCTTTTATGGAGATTTTAGCTTAAAAACCCAAAAAAACCCAACTGTTTTGCAGTCTACTTTCAGAGCATCTTGATCTTCTTTTCAAAGAGCGAATACCCATATTTCAACGTTCAGCAAAGATAAATCTTTCTCTTGTTAACCTTTTTATCTGTAGATAAACATGTTTAAAAAGCTTTGAGCTTCCAATTAATCGAAAGCCTTTATTAGGTCTTTTTGAAAACAGTCGGAAAGCGTTTTGCTATCCTTGAAGGTTGCTTTGCCTCTAAAACTGTTAAATAGGACTGAAATTAAAAAAGTCTAAGGTACGGTATGGATCCTCATATGGATAGCATTACATTCCGGCCAATCATGCCTATGGTGTCTATAAATCAAAGTTGGCAAGATAGGCAAAAATTTGAACAAGAATTTGTAGTAGAATTTCATACACATAGACTAAGTCGTCTTTCCAATCGATCTAAACAATTATCCATCAAGTCTGCCGGTACTTCCAAAAACATCTGATAAATTCTTCAAAAGCCACGGTACAATCAAATTATAAGTATGATACTGTGCTACATAGTATCCTTTAACGATTTTAATAATGAAGTCAAAACCAATTGTGGAATCCCAGATAACTTGTGCATCCTCCGGCCGCGGATAAGCGATTACGTCAGGTATTTGCAAATGTAACAATAGCCTCTCTTTCCTCTTTCTCTTCTATAACAAAATATGATATTTTGTTGCTAACGAAAGTGGAAGTAAAGGCAACTATTCGCAAATGTGGTTTGTAAAATTTACAGAGTAAGAAAGCAGAACGGAACGAAACTAATTTTGGCATTATGTAGTTCCACAAAATATCTATACACCATACCCCACCCCCCCCCCCCCCCCCCCCCCCCCCAGCAAAATGTTGGAGTAAACTTACTATCCCATAACAATACGCTACAATACGTTTTATCAATTAATGTTTTTATTATTAATTCTCCCAACTGGGAATTTTCAGAATTAATTTACAAGAACTCGTTAGGCTAAATAACGTTCGAAATTACTAAAACATTACAAATA